CCTGGTCTGTCGCTCCGCACTAAGCTTCAGGTCTTCTCGGCCACGGTCATTCCCTCTCTTCTCTACGCTTACTAAACGTGGACCCCCCTAATGGAACATCTTCGCCGGTTAGAAACATTTAGGCTGGCCTGCCTACGATCCCTCCTGGGTTTAACCAGGCTGGATTGTGTGAGGAGCTCACAAATCCTTGAAAGATCTGGGCAAGGTCCCATCGGTGAGCTCCTCCGGCAGGCAAGGCTGCGTTGGCTGGGTCATGTAGCCCGCATGCCCAGCCACTGCATGCCGAAACAGCTTTTGTCCGGCCGGATCGAGGGGGCTAAACGGGCGCGGCACGGGCTAGAGAAGAGATGGAGTGACCTGGTACAGGAGGATGTGGAGTTGAGTGGATTTGCCGATGACTGGTACCAGCGGTGTCAAGATCGGCCTCTGTGGAGGAGGCTCGTGAAGGACGCTACTGGGCAGTTGGAGGCAGTCGCCCTCCAACAACAACGGAGGGCGGAGGAGCGGCGCTCACAACAACGAGCGGAGCGACGGGTGGCTAAAGTACAGCAGGTTGGCACAGTAGGGGGCACAGGTGGTGCATCAGCCAGTCATCTCAGTTATCTCAGTCAGTCGACCCGTGGCACCTGGGTCTGCCCCGTGACCTCCTGCCAGCAGGCGTTCGACACTTCACGTGGCCTCAATGTGCACCTAGCCTGGCACAAGCGTCGTGGTGACGTCACCACCACTTAGTGGCGAATGGCGGTTGTTGTTGTCTGTACCTGTGTATGTGTATGTGTACCTGTGTGTGTCTGTGTACTCAGCACCACGCTCGGCCACCTTTGTCTCCCTAGTGACGATGTTTACACATCGCATCAGGTACTCATTTGAGGCTGAGTCGACCTAGGGGAGGCCCGGGACGGGTTCAGATAATCGTCACTGGGTGTTGGCCACCCACCCCCTCGTGTACCGTTCCAGCCTTCATAGGTGCTCGCTAACAGCACTTGCCCCTACAGTCTGTTAGGGCTATACGGGGGATCTTTGTCTTTGTGTGTGAATGTGTGTGTCTGTGTGTGTGTGTCTCTGTGGAGAGCGATAGTGTAGCGGTTAGCGCTACGCTGCGCTATGAACCTGGCGACCCGGGTTCGATTCCCGCTCACGGCCAACACCAGTGACGATTATCTGAACCGGTCCCGGGCCTCCCCTAGGTCGACTCAGCCTCAAATGAGTACCTGGTGCGGTGTGTAAACATCGCCACTAGGGAGACAAAGGCGGTCGGGCGTGGTGCTGGCCACCCACCCCCTCGTGTACCGTTACCGGCCTTCATAGGTGCTCGCTAACAGCACTTGCCCCTACAGTCTGTTACAGGCTATATGGGGGATCTTTGTCATTGTGTAAGTCCATGTGTGTGTGTGTGTTTTAGTCGATATGTTTGTGTAAATCCATATGTGTGTGTGTGTCGGTCGATGTGTGTGTAAGTCTACGTGTGTATGTGAGTGTATGTGTGTGTCTGTAAGTCTACGTGTGTATGTGAGTAGATGTGTGTGTGTGTAACTCCATGTGTGTGTGTCTAAAGTCGATGTTTGTGTGTGATTCCATATGTGTGTAAGTCGATGTGTTTGTATGTGTGTGGGTCGATGTCTACGTGTGTGTAAGTCGATGCATGTGTGAGTCTATGTATGTGTGTGTGTGAGTCTATGTATGTGTGTGTGAGTCTATGTGTGTGTGTGTAAGTCGATGTGTGTGTGCGCCTTTTTCGCCCGGGCAACGCCGGATACTTCCCGCTAGCAGTGCTTATTTACTATCATCAAGCATCGCTTAATCCCTATCGTGTATTATGAACTGAGAGTAATGCAAATGAGTAAACAGTAATGTTGATCTCTGTTTAAACGGAGCTGTAAATCTGTGACTTGCCTTCATGACGCGTGGGCGTTGCGCTCGCAAAGAAATAATAAAAAAAAATAACTAACACATTGCACTCAATCGTCCGCGGTTATTTCGGGAAAAGCCACGTAAGGTAGGAAAATAATTTCCCCTGGTTCAGCAGTTCTACTGCTGTAATTTTTTTGTTGCACCCGAAGGCGATTGCTCGTGATGCTATCGCGACGTCGTGATGTATTTTTTTAAATATTATTTTTCTCTACCCACGTGATGACTTTTCCGAAATAAATACCGAGTGTGTGTGTGGATCGCCGCAGTCACGGAAAGCTTCAAATCAAGATGTAACACTGCTGTCCTACCAGACAGTCTCGCCCCCTTCACCTGATGAAGGCCGCTTGTGTTGTGGCCCGAAACGTCGTGAGAATATTATTGTGTTATTTTATTTTATCAATGTATTATTTTATTCTCATTCTACCTGGTGACTTTACCGAAAGAACCAAAGAAGATGTAACACTGCATTGGCAATTTAACCACTTTGAAGTTGACGGGATGGGGGAAATGGAATGGCGCTGTCCTCACCACGGGGCTTACGGTACCTGGCGACTTTATTTCAACGCAAAACCCCACGGGTTGCGAGACAAATCCTTCGCGAGTTGCGTCCACGCACAAGCAGACAGACACACAGACAGACACACAGACACACAGACAGACACACAGACAGACACACACACAGGCACACAGACAGACACACAGACACACAGACAGACACACAGACAGACACACAGACACACACACACAGACACACAGACACACAGACACACAGACAGACAGACACACAGACACACACACAGACAGACACACAGACAGACACACAGACAGACAGACACACAGACAGACACACAGACACACAGACAGACACACAGACAGACAGACACACAGACACACACAGACACACAGACAGACACACAGACAGACACACAGACAGACAGACACACAGACAGACAGACACACAGACACACACAGACACACAGACAGACACACAGACAGACAGACACACAGACACACACAGACACATAGACAGACAGACAGACACACAGACAGACACACACACAGACAGACACACACAGACAGACACACACACAGACACACACACAGACAGACAAACAGACAGACAGACACACAAACAGACACACAGACAGACCCACAGACAGACAGACAGACAAACAGACACACAGACAGACAGACACACGAACAGACACACAGACAGACACACAGACAGACACACAGACACACAGACACACAGACAGACACACAGACAGACAGACAGACACACACACACACAGACACACACACAGACACACAGACAGACATACACACAGACATACACACACAGACAGACAGACAAATACAAAGATCCCCCATATAGCCTGTAACTGACTGTAGGGGCAAGTGCTGTTAGCGAGCAGCACCTATGAAGGCCGGTAACGGTACACGAGGGGGTGGGTGGCCAGCACCACGCCCGACCGCCTTTGTCTCCCCAGTGGCAATGTTTACACACCGCAGCAGGTACTCATTTGAGGCTGAGTCGACCTAGGGGAGGCCCGGGACCGGTTCAGATAATCGTCACAATTACTGTAAAGGCGAGGTGATGTTGATTCTAAACGTGGAGTGAAAACCCCAGAGGATACGGAGACAAAATCCACTCAGTGCCCACCACGGGGAGAGAGACACAGACTCCACATCATATACAACAGCAGCAGCAGCAGGCATCGTGAGTGTCGGATTCGAACCCACGATCTCCTGTATACCAGGCGAGGTAGTTAACATCTCTTAGCCACCGTGGTGATGATGATGAAGATGAGAGAGACGCAGACTCCAAATATACAGCTGCAGGCATCGTCAGGATTGGGATCCAACCCACGACCTCCTGTATACCGAGTGAGGTAGTTAACATCGCATAGCCACCGTGATGATGATGATGATGAAAGAGAGAGAGACACAGACTCCAAATATACAGCAGCAGCAGGCATCGTCAGGGTCTGGATCCAACCCACAACCTCCTGTATGCCAGGTGAGGTAGTGAACATATCCTAGCCACCGTGATGATGATGAGAGAGAGAGACGCAGACTCCAAATACAGAGCTGCAGGCATCGTCAGGATCGGGATCGAACCCACGAACCTCCTGTAAACCAGGCGAGGTAATTAACATCACATAGCCACCTTGATGATTATGATAGAGAGAGAGACGCAGACTTCAAATATACAGCAGCAGCAGGCATCGTCAGGGTCAGGATCGAACACACCGATCTCCTGTAGACCAGGCGAGGTAGTCAACACCTCTCAGGGTAATCGAACCCACGACCTCCTGTAGACCTGGCGAGGTAGTCAACATCTCTCAGGGTAATCGAACCCACGACCTCCTGTAGACCTGGCGAGGTAGTCAACATCTCTCAGGGTAATCCAACCCACGACCTCCTGTAGACCAGGCGAGGTAGTCAACATCTCTCAGAGTAATCGAACCCACGACCTCCTGTAGACCAGGCGAGGTAGTCAACATCTCTCAGAGTAATCGAACCCACGACCTCCTGTACACCAGGCGAGGTAGTCAACATCTCTCAGGCTAATCCAACCCACGACCTCCTGTAGACCAGGCGAGGTAGTCAACATCTCTCAGGCTAATCCAACCCACGACCTCCTGTTTACCAGGCGCGGTAGTAAACATCTCCCAGAGTCGGGATCGAACCCACGACCTCCTGTAGACCAGGCGAGGTAGTCAACATCTCTCAGGGTAATCGAACCCACGACCTCCTGTATACCAGGCGAGGTAGTCAACATCTCTCAGGGTAATCGAACCCACGACCTCCTGTAGACCAGGCGAGGTAGTCAACATCTCTCAGGGTAATCGAACCCACGACCTCCTGTAGACCAGGCGAGGTAGTAAACATCTCCCAGAGTCGGGATCGAACCCACGACCTACTGTAGACCAGGCGAGGTAGTCAACATCTCGCTAGCCACCGCTCAAGAGCGCGTGGGTTTGTGAAGGCATTCCTGAAATACCACCACCACCACAACCGCCACCGCCACTACCATCATCACCACCAGGGGCAGCTAGGCGTGTCTGTGTGTGTGTGCCTGTGTCTGTGTGTGTGTCTGTGTGTGTGTGTGTCTGTGTGTCAGTATATAAATCGACGTACGTCAGGATCCCTCGCGTGAACAACCCCGCACCGTCAGCTCCTGCGGCTGAGACGGAGGTCTCGAGGAGTGAAATTCTTCCTGCGCTGCTCTCGTAGCAAGGAGGAAGGGGAAAGTGGAAAGACCACAACACAAGAGCTTTAAACCGCACACACACACAAAACACAATTAGATAATACAACACACACACATACAATAATTGGTTTTGTTTCAGAAGAAGATCGATGACAATTCGAATTTAGAGGGGAAGGAACAATGCCTCTGCCGGCGGTGGTGGTGGTGGTGGCGGTGTTGGCGCTGCAAATTGGTGAGTTTAAGGGTCCGACCTCTTGGAACGATCGGATGAGTCTCTGTGTAGGTCTCTGTGGGTTTCTGTGGGTCTGTGTGGTCATATGAGTCTCTATGGGTCGCTGTGGTTCAATTATTCTCTGTGGATCTCTGTGTGGGTCTCTGTGGGTCTCTGTGTGGGTCTCTGTGGGTCTTTGTGGGTCTCTGTGGGGTTTTGTGGGTCTCTGTGGGTCTCTGTGGGTCTGTGTGGGTCTCTGTGGGTATCTGTGGGTTTCTGTGGGTCTGTGTGGATCTTTGTGGGTTTCTGTGGGTCTCTATGGTTATATGAGGATCTATGGGTTTCTGTGGTTCAATTATTCTCTATGGGTCTCTGTGGGTCTCTGTGGTTATATGAGTCACTATGGGTCCCTGTGGTTCAATTATTCTCTGTGGGTCTCTGTGGGTTTCTGTGGGTCTCTGTGGGTCTGTGTGGGTCTCTGTGGGTTTCTGTGGGTCTGTGTGGGTCTGTGTAGGTCTCTGTGGGTTTCTGTGGGTCTCTGTGGGTCTGTGTGGGTCTCTGTGGGTCTCTGTGGTTATATGAGTCACTAAGGGTCGCTGTGGTTCAATGATTCTCTGTGGGTCTCTGTGGGTCTTTGTGGGTCTATGAGTCTCTGTGGGTTCTGTGGGTCTATGAGTCTATGTGGGTCTCTATGGGTCTATGAGTCTCTGTGGGTTCTGTGGTTCTATGAGTCTTTGTCTCTATGGGAATCTGTGGGTGTGTATAGTGTACAGCGTAGTGTGTGTAGTGTATAGTGTAGTGTATAGCAGAGTGCGTGTCGTGTATAGTGTGGGGAGCGATAGTGTAGTGGTTAGCGCTACGCTGCACTATGAACCTGGCGACCCAGGTTTGATTCCCGCTCACGACCAACGCCAGTGACGATTATCTGAACCGATCCTGGGCCTGCCCTAGGTCGACTCAACCTCAAATCAGTACCTGGTGCGGTGTTCAGTAAACATCGCCACTAGGGAGACAAAGACGGCCGGGCGTGGAGCTGGTCACCCACCCCCCGTGTGCCGTGCCGGCCTTCATAGGTGCTCGCTAACAGCACTTGCCCCTACAGTCTATTACAGGCTACACGGGGGATCTTTGCAGTGTATAGTGGAGTGTGTAGTGGAGTGTGTAGTGTGTAGTGTAGTGTGTGGTGGAGTGTAGTGTGTAGTGTAGTGTGTAGTGGAGTGTAGTGGAGTGTGTGGCGGGGTGTGTCGTGGAGTGTATAGTACGCAAAATTCGTGATCTGATCCCATCCGTGAAGGATGTCATTCCTGATTTACAGTACCCCGGGGTTTACAAATTGAGTTGTACCTGCGGTGATTGCTACATCGGTGAGACAAAGCGACATGTTTCTGACCGAATTCGCGAGCACAAATCAGATTTGAAACACGGCAAAACGAATTCTTCCGCCGTGGCTGATCACTGTTACAACGCTGTGGGTGATCACGATATAATTTTCTCCGATGCCAAGGTTCTTTCCAAACCCACGGAGTTTTATCAGAGATTTGTTCGCGAGGCAATTCAGATCTACAAACACGGACACAATTTCAACCGAGAGGATGGTTTCAAATTAAGCAACCATTGGAAAGATGTTCTAAATCGAACTAAACATTAAACTAATTTCAATGCTACAGTATATTTTTCAAGTAGTGGTACCCCAAACTTTCGGAGCTCTTATAAATCCCACCTTTTCACACCATCAATAGGTAAACTCCCCTTCCCCCCCCCCCCCCCCCCGTGCCAAACTGCAAGTCCACCAGCACGTACACCAACTCTTTCCCAAAATCCGCCAATCAAATGCTAATTTTTATGCTAATTTCTTTGTCAGAACACCTTGTTTGCTCGCACACAGGTCCGATGTCTGAGCGTGGTTGTGTTTCGCTAAATTCTCCTGTTTGATGAGTACTAGGTGCCTCGGTGAATGTATATGCTCTGACTTTGACATAGCTATTTCTGTGACCAGTTACAAGTTAATCACTCAGCTATTTCAATGCTAAATGCGATCCTAATTCCTTTGTCAAGGGGTACCTCTGCGGATGTGTATACTTGAACTTAGCTATTTCAATGAGCCATTTCAATGTTAAATTATATGCTAATTCCCTTGTCAAGGCGCGTGGTCTTTTTCTTCTCACACAGCTTAAAGGTCGTGATCTAAGCGTGGCTTCTTCCACTCCAGCGCTGTCCTCCAGACAGTCTCGTCCCTTCACCTGATGAAGGCCGCTTGTGTTGTGGCCGAAACGTCGTAATTTTTTGTTATTTTATTTTTCACATACGTGACTTTACCCAATAGAACCAAAGAGTATGTAGTGGAGTGTATAGTGGAGTGTATAGTGGAGTGTGTAGTGGAGTGTATAGTGGAGAGTGTAGTGTGTAGTGAAGTGTATAGTGGAGTGTGTAGTTGAGTGTGTAGTGTAGTGGAGTGTGTAGTGGAGTGTGTAGTGGAGTGTATAGTGGAGTGTATAGTGGAGTGTATAGTGGAGTGTGTAGTGTAGTGTGTAGTGTAGTGGAGTGCGTAGTGGAGTGTGTAGTGGAGTGTATAGTGGAGTGTGTAGTGGAGTGTGTAGTGGAGTGTGTAGTGGAGTCTGTAGTGGAGTGTATAGTGGAGTGTATAGTGGAGTGTGTAGTGTAGTGTGTAGTGTAGTGGAGTGCGTAGTGGAGTGTGTAGTGGAGTGTATAGTGGAGTGTGTAGTGGAGTGTGTAGTGGAGTGTGTAGTGGAGTCTGTAGTGGAGTGTATAGTGGAGTGTATAGTGGAGTGTATAGTGGAGTGTGTAGTGGAGTGGAGTGTATAGTGTAGTGTGTAGTGGAGTGTATAGTGTAGTGTATAGTGGAGTGTGTAGTGGAGTGTATAGTGGAGTGTGTAGTAGAGTGTGTAGTGGAGTGAATAGTGGAGTGTGTAGTGGAGTGTAGTGTGTAGTGGAGTGTGTAGTGGAGTGTATAGTGGAGTGTATAGTGGAGTGTGTAGTGGAGTGGAGTGTGTAGTGGAGTGTGTAGTGGAGTGGAGTGTATAGTGGAGTGTGTAGTGGAGTGTGTAGTGTAGTGTATAGTGGAGTGTGTAGTGGAGTGTGTAGTGGAGTGTGTAGTGGAGTGTGTAGTGGAGTGTGTAGTGTAGTGTGTAGTGGAGTGTGTAGTGGAGTGTGTAGTGGAGTGTGTAGTGGAGTGTGTAGTGGAGTGTGTAGTGGAGTGTGTAGTGTAGTGTGTAGTGGAGTGTGTAGTGGAGTGTATAGTGGAGTGTGTAGTGGAGTGTGTAGTGGAGTGTGTAGTGGAGTGTGTAGTGGAGTGTATAGTGGAGTGTATAGTGGAGTGTGTAGTGGAGTGTATAGTGGAGTGTGTAGTGGAGTGTGTAGTGGAGTATAGTGGAGTGTATAGTGGAACGTATAGTGGAGTGTGTAGTGGAGTGTATAGTGGAGTGTGTAGTGGAGTGTATAGTGGAGTGTGTAGTGGAGTGTATAGTGGAGTGTGTAGTGGAGTGTATAGTGGAACGTATAGTGGAGTGTGTAGTGGAGTGTGTAGTGGAGTGGAGTGTGTAGTGGAGTGTGTAGTGGAGTGGAGTGTATAGTGGAGTGTGTAGTGGAGTGTGTAGTGTAGTGTATAGTGGAGTGTGTAGTGGAGTGTGTAGTGGAGTGTGTAGTGGAGTGTGTAGTGGAGTGTGTAGTGGAGTGTGTAGTGGAGTGTGTAGTGGAGTGTGTAGTGGAGTGTGTAGTGGAGTGTATAGTGGAGTGTGTAGTGGAGTGTGTAGTGGAGTGTGTAGTGGAGTGTATAGTGGAGTGTATAGTGGAGTGTGTAGTGGAGTGTATAGTGGAGTGTGTAGTGGAGTATAGTGGAGTGTATAGTGGAACGTATAGTGGAGTGTGTAGTGGAGTGTATAGTGGAGTGTGTAGTGGAGTGTATAGTGGAGTGTGTAGTGGAGTGTGTAGTGTAGTGTGTAGTAGAGTGTATAGTGTAGTGTATAGTGTAGTGGAGTGTATAGTGGAGTGTGTAGTGGAGTGTATAGTGGAGTGTGTAGTGGAGTGTATAGTGGAGTGTGTAGTTGAGTGTATAGTGGAACGTATAGTGGAGTGTGTAGTGGAGTGTGTAGTGGAGTCTGTAGTGGAGCGTATAGTGTAGTGTGTAGTGGAGTGTGTAGTGTGTAGTGGAGTGTATAGTGGAGTGTGTAGTGTGTAGTGGAGTGTGTAGTGGAGTGTATAGTGGAGTGTATAGTGGAACGTATAGTGTAGTGTATAGTGGAGTGTGTAGTGGAGTGTATAGTGGAGTCTGTAGTAGAGTGTGTAGTGGAGTGTATAGTGGAACGTATAGTGGAGTGTGGAGTATAGTGGAGTGTATAGTAGTGTGTGTAGTGGAGCGTATTGTGGAGTCGTGACGGTCACGTGGTGGTTACGACGTGGTGGTCACGTGGTGGTCTCGACGTGGCCACGCCCTACCGCGTGCGCCCGTGGAATTCCACCTCCGCCTGCGCTCGTTCCGCATGGGCCGCGATTTTGTCGCAGGTGAAACTGGCACGGGGTGGCTCTGCCTTGCTGCTGCTGCTGTAGCCGGCGCAGGCTTGACCTGTGGGTTACGAGTCTGTTCACTTGTTTTGTGTTTGTTTAAAGGGGGTGAGATGTTAACTACCTCCCCTGGTGTGCAAGGACGTTGTGGGTTCGATCCCGATCCTGACGATGCCTGCCGCTGTAAATTTGGAGTCTGTTGTGTCTCTCTCTCTGTCCCTGCGGTGAGATGTTAACTACCTCGCCTGGTCTACAGGAGGTCGTGGGTTTGATTAGCCTGAGAGATGTTAACTAACTCGCCTGGTCTACAGGAGGTCGTGGGTTTGATTAGCCTGAGAGATGTTAACTACCTCGCCTGGTCTATAGGAGTTCGTGGGTTTGATTAGCCTTAGAGATGTTAACTACCTCGCCTGGCATACAGGAGGTCGTGGGTTTGATTAGCCTTAGAGATGTTAACTACCTCGCCTGGTATACAGGAGGTCGTGGGTTTGATTAGCCTTAGAGATGTTAACTACCTCGCCTGGTCTACAGGATGTTGTGGGTTTGATTAGCCTGATAGAAGTTAACTACCTCGCCTGGTCTACAGGATGTTGTGGGTTTGATTAGCCTGAGAGATGTTAACTACCTCGCCTGGTCTACAGGAGGTCGTGGGTTTGATTAGCCTTAGAGATGTTAACTACCTCGCCTGGCATACAGGAGGTCGTGGGTTTGATTAGCCTGAGAGATGTTAACTACCTCGTCTGGTCTACAGGAGGTCGTGGGTTTGATTAGCCTTAGAGATGTTAACTACCTCGCCTGGCATACAGGAGGTCGTGGGTTTGATTAGCCTGAGAGATGTTAACTACCTCGCCTGGTCTACAGGAGGTCGTGGGTTTGATTAGCCTTAGAGATGTTAATTACCTCGCCTGGTCTACAGGATGTTGTGGGTTTGATTAGCCTGAGATGTTAACTACCTCGCCTGGTCTACAGGAGGTCGTGGGTTTGATTAGCCTTAAAGATGTTAACTACCTCGCCTGGTCTACAGGAGGTCGTGGGTTTGATTAGCCTTAGAGATGTTAACTACCTCGCGTGGTATACAGGAGGTCGTGGGTTTGATTAGCCTTAGAGATGTTAACTACCTCGCGTGGTCTACAGGAGGTCGTGGGTTTGATTAGCCTGAGAGATGTTAACTACCTCGCCTGATGTACAGGATGTTGTGGGTTTGATTAGCCTGAGATGTTAACTACCTCGCTTGGTCTACAGGAGGTCGTGGGTTTGATTAGCCTGAGAGATGTTAACTACCTCGCCTGGTATACAGGAGGTCGTGGGTTTGATTAGCCTTAGAGATGTTAACTACCTCGCCTGGTCTACAGGAGGTCGTGGGTTTGATTAGCCTGAGAGATGTTAACTACCTCGCCTGGTCTACAGGAAGTCGTGGGTTTGATTAGCCTTAGAGATGTTAACTACCTCGCCTGGTCTACAGGAGGTCGTGGGTTTGATTAGCCTGAGAGATGTTAACTACCTCGCCTGGTCTACAGGAAGTCGTGGGTTGGATTAGCCTGAGAGATGTTAACTACCTCGCCTGGTCTACAGGAGGTCGTGGGTTTGATTAGCCTGAGAGATGTTAACTACCTCGCCTGGTATACAGGAGGTCGTGGGTTTGATTAGCCTGAGAGATGTTAACTACCTCGCCTGGTATACAGGAAGTCGTGGGTTTGATTAGCCTTAGAGATGTTAACTACCTCGCCTGGTCTACAGGAAGTCGTGGGTTTGATTAGCCTTAGAGATGTTAACTACCTCGCCTGGTCTACAGGAGGTCGTGGGTTTGATTAGCCTGAGAGATGTTAACTACCTCGCCTGGCATACAGGAGTTCGTGGGTTTGATTAGCCTGAGAGATGTTAACTACCTCGCCTGGTATACAGGAGGTCGTGGGTTTGATTAGCCTGAGAGATGTTAACTACCTCGCCTGGCATACAGGAGTTCGTGGGTTTGATTAGCCTGAGAGATGTTAACTACCTCGCCTGGTCTACAGGAAGTCGTGGGTTTGATTAGCCTTAGAGATGTTAACTACCTCGCCTGGTCTACAGGAGGTCGTGGGTTTGATTAGCCTGAGAGATGTTAACTACCTCGCCTGGCATACAGGAGTTCGTGGGTTTGATTAGCCTGAGAGATGTTAACTACCTCGCCTGGTCTACAGGAAGTCGTGGGTTTGATTAGCCTGAGAGATGTTAACTACAGGAAGTCGTGGGTCCGATCCCGACCCTGTCGATGCCTGCCGCTGTATGTTTGGAGCCTGCGTCTGTCTTTCTCTCTCTCTCTCTCTCCCTGTGGTGAGGCCACCCCCCGAGTTGAGACTGGCACGGGGGGCACGGGTGGCTGTGAGCTCGCCGCTGTAGCCGGCGCAGGCTTGACCCGTGGACGGGTCGTGCGTGTAACACGAAGTCCTCTACTTGTGGGAACTTTCTGTGTGTGGGGGCTACCGTCCCCCGCTGTCACCGGGTAGCCCGCTACCCCCCCCCCCCCCCCCAGGCCGCTCTGTGGGGTTCCGGGCAACCAACCCCCAATTCTTCGCCCCCTTGCGCCCCCCCCCCCCCCCCCGACTTTTGCCCGCGTGGGCTCGTTCCAATTGGGTGGCCCGGTGAGCTCGCCCGCAGGGTAAAAACCCCGTCCCGCGAGTGGACGACGCGCGACTCCCTCACACGCACGCTCCACGCGCCCGGCCAATAGCAACCACGACGCCGCTACCCGCCGAGCCCCGTGCACCAATCGCACGCGAGGGGGCGGGGCGGTGGGGGCGGGGTCGGGAGGCCAGGGGGCGTCTGCCGTGCTGCCGTGCGCTCGCCGCTGATTGGAGGGAGTCGCTCGGCTCCGATTTAAAGGGCACGACAGGCACTTAGCTCGCTACCTCGCTATAGGCAATCGCGCAGGCACGCGACCGCAACACAAGTCACGCAGGCGCGCGGGCGCTGAGCGCTGCTGCAAGCAATCGCACAGATAATACCACACTAGCAAAGACCACACGACACAGTTCATTCCCCCCTGCTAGTTACTTTATTTACCGCGGGTAGCCCTGTTAAACTACGCGCGATTGTGCGAGTCAGCAGGTCCCCCCCCCAGCCTATCCTTCGGGAATCCCAGGCTCAATTCACCCTGCCTATCGCTCCGCTCTCTACCCTCGATTGAATCGTTCACACTCACCTCTCTCTTGCTTAGGCTTGCTTCCACTCTGTTGCGCTGAAAGCTGTAGACGGGCGAGGCTGTGGGTCGTCTCCGTAGAGGGTTGAGCCTGGCTGCGCTGAAGCTCGTCACACGGACGACTCGAACGGCTGACTCCGATGCTCCGTGGGACCGCGATGATTTTTGAAGAACTCTGCTCCCGCTACCCCAAGCCTCCGCGCTTTTATCCACCCCAAAGGCATTCCGTTGGTCTCGCGCTTGCCCACCCGTGCTCTTCCATATTCGGATCTGTGACCTTACCTCGAACAAAAGGCATTCAGATGATTCCGCACCCGCGCCTGCCCTGTCCATTCGGAGGCCGAGTTATTCTCGTCTCTTTCACATTCGGATCCGTAATCTTACCTGTGACATAAGCGTTCCACTGTTCCCGCACCCCGTGCTGCCTTGTCCGTTCAGATTTCGGAATGCTCCTGTCCCGTTGTTATTGGGGTCCCCAATTCTACCTATAACAAAGGCGTATCGCCGTTCCCACGCCCCGTGCCGTGTGTGCGCGATCTCATCCGCGGTGGCTTTACAGGCCCCCCCGCCCCCCCCCCCCCCCCCCGCCGCCGTGACTATGTAATTATAATATCAGGCAACAGGGCGCCGCGGTGCTGGTCAGCATCGGGGGTAGGTCGCCCAATTCCCCGGGCCGCAGGAAACCATGAAGCCCGATCCCATTAGGGGCTTCTGGACCTGTCGGCCCGGTGACCCACCCCGCGGGCCCTATATGGGGCATGCGCGTGCGGGGTGTGCGCGTGTGGGGTGTGCGTGTGTGGGGTGTGCGTGTGTGGGGTGTGCGTGTGTGGGGTGTGCGTGTGTGGGGTGTGCGTGTGTGGGGTGTGCGTGTGTGGGGTGTGCGTGTGTGGTGCAGAGCGGCACCACGAGCTTTTTCTTCGTCCAGTATCAGAGCTGCGGAAAAAGTGAGATTGTGTTTTTATCCTTTTATCTGGCAATTTCAAAACAAGAGGTGTGTTAAGATGTCCAAATGCCCGGTAGGTGTGATGCCTTTGCATTAACCACGCACACTTTAAGGACTCAATTGCGCTCAAAGTTTTGATTTAAAGCTTTCGTGACTGCAGTAATTCATATTCTTAGCTCTTTCGGTAAAGTCACGTTGAAGGGAAACAATAAAATAATAAAATATATATAAAACAATAAAAATTCTCACGACGTTTCGACCATAACACAAACGGTCATCATCAGCTGTGAAAAACCTGATGATGACCATTTGTGTTATGGTCGAAACGTCGTGAGAATGTTTTTTGTTTTATATATATTTTATTATTTTATTGTTTCCCTTCAACGTGACTTTACCGAAAGAGCTAAGGATATGCACTCAAAGTGTTTTTTCACTTTAACCGTGTTTTTTTTTTCTTTCTCATCCCCGCTTATTGCCGTGTAAAGCAAGGAATTAATTTTTGTTTTTATCGGTCACCCTCGTGGCCTCATTCTCAATCGCGAAAGATAGCGGGCTCAGCGAGAAATAAAAACCCGGCTAAAAGCGAACGACGCTTTAAGTTTGTCGCTTCAAGAGGATTTTTTCCTTCCCCTCCTGCTTAACGACCACCATGAAGGGTGAATTTTTTTACTGTCGATGTCGTTGCCTTGTTCTCAAAAGTTGAACTCTCTCGCTTGCCCTGATGTTGTCGTCACCGCTTGCAGGGAACGGAGCCGGGAGCAGTGTGGGACGTCAGTTCTTCGGCGCATTTATGCAGAACTACTTGGAGGGAGTCGACGCACTTGTGGTGGACTTCGCCAGCTACGACAGCAGCGCTCAGGTCACCGTCTCGGTCCCCGCGGTGAACTTCTCGCAGACCGTCCTCCTGCCTCCCTTCTCCATCGGCAATGTATCCATCCCGGTAACGGCAGAGATCGCAGAGAACGGCATCGTCACCAACAAGGTCGTGTCCGTTCGTTCTGACAGTGACATCTCAGTGTGGGGCATGTCCAAACGAATTGCAACAACCGATGGGTTCATGATGATCCCTGAGCAGGAGCTGGGAACAGAATATTACGTAGTCGCTCCTGTGTCTGGTCGGTTAACCCTGAACGAATTCGCGATAGTCAGTCCCTACAACAACGTGACGGTGCAGATGATTTTGAGCGGAAATGTGATTTTCAACGGTGTGACGTACTCCAACGAACTGAACATCACTCTACAAGAGAACGAGGTCGTGCAGTTCCAAGGATCATCTCTGACTGGGACCAGGGTACTCTCGAGTCAACCTGTGGCCGTGTTCAGTGGAGATCGGTGCATCGCAGTCCACACAGCCTGCAATTTTGTGACAGAGCAGCTCTTGCCAGTACCGCAGTGGGGCTCCTCTTACCTGGTCTTCCCTGTGTCCATCAAGTCAACAGACGACAGCGTCATCATCACCTCGCCTACGAGCGCGAGCATCAGTGTCAATGTCAGTGTTGGTGGAAATTTCATAACCTACACGTTGACCAATTACGATCGCATCAGCGTTCCTGTATATGCAAACCAGATTTTGTCTATAAACTCATCTGTGAACGTAGGGGTCATGTACATATGCCAGGGTGGGTCTACAACTCTAGGGGATTACATGGATCCGTTCCAGATGAGCATCATACCAACCAGCAAGTTCTCTAACAAGTACCTGTTTGCAAATCAACCAGGTTTCACGAACATTTTAATCGTGATCGCCAAGGATGCAGACAAATGTGGGATCATCATGAACAACGAGGCACTGTGCGATAAGATCCAGTGGGTCCGGACAAACGACCTCCAGTTCGTGGCCGGGGAGTTGAACCTGGGAAGTGTGAATCAGCAGTTCCTGGTGGAACACGCGACTCAGACGTTTGGGCTCTACCTCTATGGGGTGGCATCCTACGACTCATTTGGCTACGTCCTCAGCTACGGCAACCTAAGAGGTAACTAAACGCTGAGCATTGTAACGAGATCAGCCAGACTTGTAGCAAATCTAACTTCTACTGCTACGATTATTATTATTATTATTCCACTAACATACACGACGCCGTTACAACCCCCACCACCACCCTCGCCACGCCCCTCCCCAATTGTGACCTCGCCCACATTTGATTGGCTTCCTGTTACCGTGGTGCGATGACGTCACGACGCCTGTGCCATTACAGCCCCTCCCCCCCTCCCCCCCGGTAGATGGGCTGAGTCTGTACACAACTCAAGTTCTCCATAATGGAGCTGTTTTCGGTTAGATCGCATAAACATATAAAAGTGTCGTTAAAACCCGCCACCACCCGACACAGCCAGCTAGTAAGGGTTGTCACGTAAACGGAACGTGGCCAATTCGTCACTAGCACAGCACTACCGGTGTGCTGGCGAGCCAAGCCACAACATTTACAATGCGCGGCATACCCCCACAAAACCTCTATTGTGGATGATATTGGTCGCGAAAGCTCACGTGCTGAAGCAACTTAAGTTGTGGGTTGGGCCGAGGCTGCGCCTGCCGTGCAGGGAGTCGAAGCATAGACGTACAGATACTCACGGACTCCCACCCGTACCCCCAAAGACCCAGAGACCCATACAAACATAGAGACCCATGGTGAAACTAAACTTAAATTGCATTTTTCGCTAAACGCGTTTTGAGAAATGTGCCGTTTAACTCGCCAATGCGCGACAGCTGTCGCCTGATGAAGCTGGTTGTAATTATTGGCGAAACGTCGTACTCAGATTGTAAACGTTCTGGGTTTGCTCTCTGACACAGCGGTGTGCTGTACTAGTATACTACACTATACACCACACTATACACTACACTATACACTACTATACACTACACTATACACTACACTATACACTACACTATACACTACACTACACTATACACTGCACTATATACTACACTCTACACTACACTATACACTACACTATACACTGCACTATACACTACACTACACACTACTATACACTACACTATACACTACACTATACACTGCACTATACACTACACTACACACTACTATACACTACACTACACACTACTATACACTACACTATACACTACTACACTATACACTACACTACACTATACACTGCACTACACTATACACTATAAACCACACTACACTATATACCACACTATATATTACCCTACACATTACCCCTACACTCTAGTACTGTACTAGTAACGAATTGGTCACGTTCCGTTTAGTGACACTAAACCTTACTAGAAATACAACTACACCATGGATGACATTCGCTCGCGAAAGCGTTCCCGGCGCGTCAAACCTAACGCGTCTTTTTTTATCCCCTTCCTCCTACCCACCCCCTCTCCACCACCCATCGCTTAACGCGACGCCGTCCACAAATACCTCCGGCTTCCCCCTTCTTCCTCCTAACCCGCGTCGAGCACGAGGCATCTCAACTCCCCACCCCGCCCCCCGCGCTATCTTCAATGGATCGGTCTCAACACTCCCGCATCCTCTCCCCTCCCCCCAAGCGTCGTCGTCCCTCTCACCACCCCACTTCCACACCGCCCGCTCAACGCGCACCGTCTCACCACCCCGCCCCGCCCCCCGCCGCCCTCGCTTCCTCGTTCCCCGCACGCTCGAACCTTCCGAGGGGTCTCACACTTTTCGCGCTTCAACTTCCACCGCCCCGGGTGGGGTGGAGAGGATTTCTGTACGCGAGCCCGGCCCCCCCCCCTTTAGCGGGGGCCGGGCTCGCGACGCCAACGCCCGACCGCGTGGCGCCGGTGAAGTTCCGCCGCCGCTTGCCGCTCTCTGTCCGCGTCGGACGCGATTTGGTCGCTGGTGAAACTGGCACCGGGGTGGCTCTGCCTCGCTGATTCTGACCATGTTGCTGCTGTAGCCGCCGCAGGCTTGACCCGTGGGTTACGAGTCTGTCCACTTGTTTTGCGTTTGTTTAAAGGGGGGTGAGATGTTAACTACCCCACCTGGTGTGCAAGGACGTTGTGGGTTCGATCCCGATCCTGACGATGCTTGCCGCTGTAAATTTGGAGTCTGCTGTGTCTCTCTCTCTGTGTCCCTTGCAGTGAGATGTTAACTACCTCGCCTGGTCTACAGGAGGTCGTGGGTTCGATTAGCCTGAGAGATGTTGACTACCTCGCCTGGTATACAGGAGGTCGTGGGTTCGATTACCCTGAGATATGTTAACTACCTCGCCTGGTCTACAGGAGGTCGTGGGTTTGATTAGCCTGAGAGATGTTAACTACCTCGACTGGTATACAGGAGGTCGTGGGTTCGATTACCCTGAGAGATGTTAACTACCTCGCCTGGTATACAGGAGGTCGTGGGTTTGATTAGCCTGAGAGATGTTAACTACCCCACCCGGTGTGCACAGAGGTCGTGGGTTCGATCCCGATCCTGACGATGCTTGCCGCTGTAAATTTGGAGTCTGCGTGTCTCTCTCTCTGTCCCTTGCAGTGAGATGTTAACTACCTCGCCCGGTCTACAGCGGGTCGTGGGTTTGATTAGCCTGAGAGATGTTAACTACCTCGCCTGGTATACAGGAGGTCGTGGGTTCGATTACCCTGAGAGATGTTAACTACCTCGCCTGGTCTACAGGAGGTCGTGGGTTTGATTAACCTGAGAGATGTTAACTACCCCACCCGGTGTGCACAGAGGTCGTGGGTTCGATCGCGACCCTGTCGATGCCTGCCCCTGTATATTTGGAGTCTGCGTCTGTCTTTCTCTCTCTCTCCCTGCGGTGAGGCCACTCCGAGTTGAGACAGGAACTGGTGGCTCTGGCTTGCTGCCGTAGCCGGTGCAGGCTTGACCCGTGGTTGGGGCGTTTGCGTAACACCAAGTCCTCGACCTATGTGAACTCTTTCTTCGTCCAGTATCAAAGCCTAGTTGAGACAGGAACTGGTGGCTCTGGCTTGCTGCTGTAGCCGGTGCAGGCTTGACCCGTGGTTGGGGCGTTTGCGTAACACCAAGTCCTCGACCTATGTGAACTCTTTCTTCGTCCAGTATCAAAGCTGCGGAAAAATGAGATTGTGTTTTTATCCTTTTCTTTGGCAACAGCAAAACAAGAGGAGTGTTAAGATGTCCAAAAGCCCGATAGGTGTGATGCCTTTTGCAAGGAGTGAAGTCTGTATTTACCGCGCACACTTTAAGCGCTCATTTTGCGCTCAAAGTGTTTTTTTGCTTTAAGCGTTTTTATATATTTTTAAATCCCCGCTTATTGCCGCGTTGAGCGAGGAATCGTTTTTTTTATCGGTCGCCCTCGTGGCCTCATTCTCAATCGCGAAAGATAGCGGGCTCAGCGAAGCGGCCACCGTGGCGATGCGTTCGCTTTACGTGACAAACGCTCACAACGCCTGCGTCGAGAAAAAAAACCCCGCTAAAAGCGAACGACGCTTTAAGTTTTGTCGCTTCAAGAGGATTTTTTTCCTTCCCCTCCTGCTTAACGACCACCATGAAGGGTGCATTTTTTTTACTGTCGATGTCGTTGCCTTGTTCTCAAAAGTTGAACTCTCTCGCTTGCCCTGATGTTGTCGTCACTGCTTGCAGGGAACGGAGTCGGGAGCAGTGTGGGACGTCAGTTCTTCGGCGCATTTATGCAGAACTACTTGGAGGGAGTCGACGCGCTTGTGGTGGACTTTGCCAGCTACGACAGCAGCGCTCAGGTCACCGTCTCGGTCCCCGCGGTGAACTTCTCGCAGGCCGTCCTCCTGCCTCCCTTCTCCATCGGCAATGTATCCATCCCGGTAACGACAGAGATCGCGGAGAACGGCATCGTCACCAACAAGGTCGTGTCCGTTCGTTCCGACAGTGACATCTCAGTGTGGGGCATGTCCAAACGAATTGCAACAACCGATGGGTTCATGATGATCCCTGAGCAGGAGCTGGGAACAGAATATTACGTAGTCGCTCCTGTGTCTGGTCGGTTAACCCTGAACGAATTCGCGATAGTCAGTCCCTACAACAACGTGACGGTGCAGATGATTTTGAGCGGAAATGTGATTTTCAACGGTGTGACGTACTCCAACGAACTGAACATCACTCTACAAGAGAACGAGGTCGTGCAGTTCCAAGGATCATCTCTGACTGGGACCAGGGTACTCTCGAGTCAACCTGTGGCCGTGTTCAGTGGAGATCGGTGCATCACAGTCCACACAGCCTGCAATTTTGTGACAGAGCAGCTCTTGCCAGTACAACAGTGGGGCTCCTCTTACCTGGTCTTCCCTGTGTCCATCAAGTCAACAGACGACAGCGTCATCATCACCTCGCCTACGAGCGCGAGCGTCAGTGTCAATGTCAGTGTCGGTGGGAATTTCACAACCTACACGTTGACCAATTACGATCGCATCAGCGTTCCTGTATATGCAAACCAGACTTTGTCTATAAACTCATCTGTAAATGTCGGGGTCATGTACATATGCCAGGGTGGGTATACAACTCTAGGGGATTACATGGACCCATTCCAGATGAACATTATACCGACCAGCAAGTTCTCAAACAAGTACCTGTTTGCGACTCAACCAGGCTTCACGAATATTTTAATCGTGATCGCCAAGGATGCAGACAAATGTGGGATCATCATGAACAACGAGGCACTGTGCGATAAGATCCAGTGGGTCCGGACAAACGACCTCCAGTTCGTGGCCGGGGAGTTGAACCTGGGAAGTGTGAATCAGAAGTTCCGTGTGGAACACGCGACTCAGACGTTTGGGCTCTACCTCTACGGGGTGGCATTCTACGACTCATTTGGCTACGTCCTCAGCTACGGCAACCTAAGAGGTAACTAAATGCTGAGCATTTGAAACACGATCAGCCAGACTTGTAGCAAATCTAACTTCTACTGCTACGATTATTATTATTATTATTCCACTAACATACACGACGCCGTTACAACCCCCACCACCACCCTCGCGAACGCCCCTCCCCAATTGTGACCTCGCCCACATTTGATTGGCTTCCTGTTACCGTGGTGTGAAGACGTCACGATGCCTGTGCCATTACAGCTCCTCCCCCCCTGGTGGATGGGCTGAGTCTGTGCACAACTCAAGTTGTGGGCTGGGCAGAGGCGGCGTCCGCTGTGACTCATCCACTTGGATTGAGTATTTAATTGACAGCGGCTTCTCCCGTTATGGCCTCGCATGGAGACCCAGAGATGTACAGATACCCATGGACGTCCACAGTGACCCATAGACTCCCACAGATACCCACAGACTCCTACAGAGACCCATAGACTTACAAAGAGACCAAGAGATGTACAGATACCCATGGACGTGAACAGTGACCCTCAGACTCCCACAGATACCCACAGACTCCTACGGAGATCCATAGACTTACAAAGAGACCAAGAGATGTACAGATACCCATGGACGTCCACAGTGACCCACAGACTCCCACAGATACCCACAGACTCCTACAGAGACCAATAGACTTACAAAGAGACCAAGAGATGTACAGATACCCATGGACTTCCACTGAGACGCACAAACTCGTACAGATACCCACATACTAATACAGGGACCCATGGACCTACAAAGAGACCCAGAGATATACAGATACCCATGGACTTCCACAGAGATGCACAGACTCCCACAGATACCCACAGACTCCTACAGAGACCCATAGACTTACAAAGAGACCAAGAGATGTACAGATACCCATGGACGTCCACAGTGACCCACAGACTCCCACAGATACCCACAGACTCTCACAGAGACCCATGGACCTACCAAGAGACCCAGAGATATACAGATACCAATGGACTTCCACTGAGACCCACAGACTCGTACAGATACCCACAGACTAATACAGGGACCCATGGACCTACCAAGAGACCCAGAGATATACAGATACCCATGGACTTCCACAGAGACCCACAGACTCCCACAGATACCCAACAGACTCCTACAGAGACCCATAGACTTCCAAAGAGACCAAGAGATGTACAGACACCCATGGACGTCCACTGAGATGCACAGACTCGTACAGATACCCACAGACTAATACAGAGGCCCATGGACCTACAAAGAGCCCCAGAGATATACAGATACCCATGGACGTCCACAGTGACCCACAGACTTCCACAGAGACCCACAGACTTCTCTTCTTCCTCCACGCGTTTGTCCCACTCCACGTGGGGGCGTTCCTCCGCTCTCCTTGCCGACCTCCACGCCGCCCTGTTCCTGCGCTATCTCTTTCCGCTCCTTGGTTCACCACCACCACCACCACATCACACCCACTACACCATACCACTACATCACACCCACATCACACCACTACATCACACCACATCACACCCACCACATCACACCACATCACACCACCACATCACATCCACCACATTACACCCACCACATCACACCACTACATCACACCACCACATCACACCCACCACATCGCACCACCACATCACACCACCACATCACACCACCACATCACACCCACCACATCACACCCACCACATCACATCCACCACATCACACCCACCACATCACACCTACCACATCACACCACCACATCACACCACCACCACTACATCACACCACCACATCACACCCACTACATCACACCACCACATCGCACTCACCACATCACACCACTACATCACACCACCGCATCGCACTCACCACATCGCACTCACCACATCACACTCACCACATCACACCACTACAACACACCTACCACATCGCACCCACCACATCACACCACTACATCACACCACCACATCACACCCACCACATCGCACCACCGCATCGCACTCACCACATCACACCCACCACATCACACCACCACATCACACCCACCACATCACACCACCACATCACACCCACCACATCACACCCACCACATCACACCACCACATCACACCACCACATCACACCACCACCACTACATCACACCACCACATCACACCCACATCGCACCACCGCATCGCACTCACCACATCACACCACTACATCACACCACCGCATCGCACTCACCACATCGCACTCACCACATCACACCATACCACATCACACCACCACCACATCACACTGTAGACGCAGCTTTCCTGAACCAAAAAAATAAGCTACGCCTTAACTTGTGGGAACAAAAAAGCCTGACGCGTGTTTGAGGTGTCTTAAGTCAAACTGTTTCCTTATTGCTTAGTTGCACAAAAACGAGCGTTTTCTAAAGTTAAATCATCGCCTGTTCACGTACTGTGCCACCTCGTGGCACGGTCAAAAGACTGCATCCACTCGCTCACCACGGCCCTTCTTGTAGCTCCCCGTTTATACTGTACAAACCGGAAGTGACGTCTGGGTTTAACCAACGGAGCGTCTAACCACAGGGGGATTTCTACACAGTTGGGATATTCCAAATGAAATATAACCAGTCCGTCAACAAAGGTGTGACGGATGTACATCAAATGTATACACAGAAATAATACGCTCACTTTCTGTCTTTTGGCTCTTACACGCACCCCCAAATCGCATCCACCACATCACACCCACCACATCACACCACTACATAAAACCACCACATCACACCCACTACATCACATCCACCACATCACACCCACCACATCATACCACCACATCACATCCACCACATCGGACCACCACATCACACCCACCACATCACACCCACCACATCACACCACCACATCACACCCACCACATCACACCCACCACATCACACCACCACATCACACCCACCACATCACACCACCACATCACACCCACCACATCACACCCACCACATCACACCACTACATCACACACACCACATCACACCACCACATCACACCACTACATCACAACCACTACATAATATCCACCACATCACACCACCACATCACATCCACCACATCACACCACCACATCACACCACCACATCACACCCACTACATCACACCACCACATCACACCCACCACATCACACCACCACATCACACCACCACATCGCACCACCACATCACACCACTACATCACACCACTACATCACACCCACCACATCACACCACCACATCACACCTCCACATCACACCACCACATCACACCACTACATCACACCCACTACATCACATCCACCACATCACACCACCACATCACATCCACCACATCACACCACCACATCACACCACCACATCACACCACTACATCACACTACTACATCACACCCACCACATCACACCCACCACATCACACCACTACATCACACCCACTACATCACATCCACCACATCACACCACCACATCACACCACCACATCACACCACCACATCACATCCACCACATCACACCCACCACATCACATCCACCACATCACACCCACCACATCACACCACCACATCACACCACTACATCACACCACCACATCACACCACCACCACTACATCACACCACCACCACTACATCACACCACCACATCACACCACCACATCACACCACCACATCACACCACTACATCACACCACCACATCACACCCACCACATCACACCACCACCACTACATCACATCCACCACACCACATCCACCACATCACACCCACCACATCACACCACCACATCACACCACTACATCACACCACTACATCACACCACCACATCACACCCACTACATCACACCACTACATCACACCACTACATCACACCACTACATCACACCACCACATCACACCACTACATCACACCCACCACATCACACCACTACATCACACCCACCACATCACACCACTACATCGCCCCCCCCCCTCCCGCACCTCTTCTTCTGCCTTTCTTCCTCGCGATCCCCTTTCCATCAACTCGCATCGCTCGCCAGCCTCCAACCCACGCCATGTCCCTGTCGCCTCTCCCGCACGACCGAACCACACACAGAGCCCGTCGCTCTCTCCCTCTGTAGTGTAGTTTATAGTGTAGTGTAAAGTGTAGGGTGGTGTATAGTAGTGTAGTGTAAAGTGTAGGGTGGTGTATAGTAGTGTGGTGTATAGTAGTGTGGTGTAGTGTATAGTAGTGGGATGTATAGTGTAGTGTGAAGTGTAGGGTGGTGTATAGTAGTGTAGTGTATAGTGTAGTGTATAGTGTAGTGTATAGTGTAGTGTATAGTAGTGTAGTGTATAGTGTAGTGTATAGTAGTGTGGTGTATAGTAGTGTAGTGTATAGTGTAGTGTATAGTGTAGTGTATAGTAGTGTAGTGTAGTGTATAGTAGTGTAGTGTATAGTGTAGTGTATAGTGTAGTGTATAGTAGTGTAGTGTATAGTGTAGTGTATAGTGTAGCGTATAGTAGTGTGGTGTATAGTGTAGTGTATAGTGTAGTGTATAGTGTAGTGTATAGTAGTGTAGTGTATAGTAGTGTAGTGTATAGTGTAGTGTATAGTAGTGTAGTGTATAGTAGTGTAGTGTATAGTAGTGTAGTGTATAGTGTAGTGTCTAGCAGTGATGTGTATAGTGTAGTGTATAGTCGTCTAGTGTATAGTCGTGTAGTGTATAGTGCAGCGTATATTAGTGACGTGTATATTGTAGCGCGGTGCATAGTAGTGTATACTATAGTAGTAATGTGTATAGTGTAGTGTATAGTAGTGTAGTGTATAGTGTAGTGTATAGTGTAGTGTATAGTGTAGCGTATATTAGTGACGTGTACATTGTAGCGCGGTGTATAGTAGTGTATACTATAGTAGTAATGTGTATAGTGTAGTGTATAGTAGTCTAGTGTATAGTGTAGTGTATAGTGTAGTGTATAGTGTATTGTATAGTGTAGCGTATATTAGTGACGTGTATATTGTAGCGCGGTGTATAGTAGTGTATACTATAGTAGTAATGTGTATAGTGTAGTGTATAGTAGTGTAGTGTATAGTGTAGTGTATAGTGTAGTGTACAGTGTAGTGTATAGTGTAGCGCATATTACTGACGTGTACATTGTAGCGCGGTGTATAGCAGTGTATACTATAGTAGTAATGTGTATAGTGTAGTGTATAGTAGTGTAGTGTATAGTGTAGTGTGTAGTCTATTGTATAGTGTAGCGTATATTAGTGACGTGTATATTGTAGCGCGGTGTATAATAGTGTATACTATAGTAGTAATGTGTATAGTGTAGTGTATAGTAGTGTAGTGTATAGTGTAGTGTATAGTGTAGTGTACAGTGTAGTGTATAGTGTAGCGCATATTACTGACGTGTACATTGTAGCGCGGTGTATAGCAGTGTATACTATAGTAGTAATGTGTATAGTGTAGTGTATAGTAGTGTAGTGTATAGTGTAGTGTGTAGTCTATTGTATAGTGTAGCGTATATTAGTGACGTGTATATTGTAGCGCGGTGTATAGTAGTGTATACTATAGTAGTAATGTGTATAGTGTAGTGTATAGTAGTGTAGTGTATAGTGTAGTGTATAGTGTAGTGTACAGTGTAGTGTATAGTGTAGCGCATATTACTGACGTGTACATTGTAGCGCGGTGTATAGCAGTGTATACTATAGTAGTAATGTGTATAGTGTAGTGTATAGTAGTGTAGTGTATAGTGTAGTGTGTAGTCTATTGTATAGTGTAGCGTATATTAGTGACGTGTACATTGTAGCGCGGTGTATAGTAGTGTATACTATAGTAGTAATGTGTATAGTGTAGTGTATAGTAGTGTATAGTAGTGTAGTGTATAGTGTAGTGTACAGTGTAGTGTATAGTGTAGCGTATATTACTGACGTGTACATTGTAGCGCGGTGTATAGCAGTGTATAGTGTGTAGCATCAACACATCTCTTGGTGACTCCGATGGTCATCCTCCGCCTCCCGCCCCCCCCCTTTGACGATTCGTCCGGTGAAAGTAACTAAAGAGTGGCCCGCGATGCCCTAGGCGGAGTCTGTCGCATCAACCCATCCGGCGCGAGCGGCACCGTCCGCTTCGCCGATTTGCTCGCGAGGCCCAACGTCGGTGACTGCCTCTGGACCATAACCGGCGGGCCGGGTACGGCCGTGACCCTTCGCTTCCAGACGTTCAGGTAAGCGGCGGTTGTGGGGGGAAGGGAGGTGATGGATAGGTGCACTCACTCTGGCCCACAGGTTCGCAACCACGCGTCACGAAACGCTTCGGGCTGTTAAGAGTCCGCTCCGCCGATGAGCACGGATGTCCCTCGTACACGACGGCGGTGGAGGTTCAACACAACGTGCACGTGTGCTCATGCTAGAGGGGGCGTAAGTACGAACGTCGGTTTCACCACCTAGTAGGCTTTCCTCGCCAATGTCATCCATATTCTTGGTTCTTTCGGTAAAGTCACCACCACGTTAGATAGGGAAACAATAAAATATTGAAAATATAAAACAATAAAATTGTTATTCTTGGTTCTTTGGGTAAAGTCACCACCACGTTAGATAGTGAAACAATAAAATAATAAAAATATAAAACAATAAAATTATTATTCTTGGTTCTTTGGGTAAAGTCACCACCACGTTAGATAGTGAAACAATAAAATAACAAAAATATGAAACGATAAAATTATTATTCTTGGTTCTTTCGGTAAAGTCACTACGTATAGAAGGGAAGCAATCAAATAATAAAAAATATAAAAAATAAAATTATTATTCTTGGTTCTTTCGGTAAAGTCACCACGTAGAAGGGAAACAATAAAATATTAAAAATATAAAACAATAAAATTATTATTCTTGGTTCTTTCGGTAAAGTCACCACATATAGAAGGGAAACGATAAAATAATAAAAATATGAAACAATAAAATTATTGTTCTTGGTTCTTTCGGTAAAGTCACCACGTTAGATAGGGAAACAATAAAATAATAAAAATATAAAACAATAAAATTATTATTCTTGGTTCTTTCGGTAAAGTCACCACGTAGAAGGGAAACAATAAAATAATAAAAATATGAAACAAAATTATTATACTTGGTTCTTTCGGTAAAGTCACCACGTAGAAGGGAAACAATAAAATATTAAAAATATAAAACAATAAAATTATTATTCTTGGTTCTTTCGGTAAAGTCACCACGTATAGAAGGGAAACAATAAAATAATAAAAATATGAAACAATAAAATTATTATACTTGGTTCTTTCGGTAAAGTCACCACGTAGAAGGGAAACAATGAAATCATAAAAATATATAACAAGAAAATTTTCACGACGTTTCGACTGCAACACAAGCAATCTTTTATCCGTATGGTCACGAACCTTTCGTGGTTTCTCTCACCACGAGGTCATTCGTGCCGAATCTTTGACGCTCGCTCGTCCTCACAGTTTTGAAGGGTTTGCGGTCGTAACGGGAGCTCTGCTCAACGTAAAGCGTGGGTTTGACCCTTTCCGGCAATGCAGCTGCGGTTGCGCTAAGACGTTAAAACACCAAACAGAGACGTGCTGCAAGGAATCACGTGCTGCATTAGCCACGTATGCTTGTGGTGAACATGCTCTGGTAGTGTATGATGATGATGATGACGCGTTGTCTCCGAAACTGATTGGTCCACGTCACCAGAGACGGCTTTCTTTTAGAGCCTAGTCGCAAACGGCGCTAGATCAGAGGACGGCAAAAAGGCGACCAGCACAAAGACAATGCCACTATCAATGGAATTGAGAGCAGCTGATTCACGGGAACTTCCTTGCCACTAGCAAAATACAAGAATACGTTTGACCCTGTCTGGCAATAAAACGACTGCGTTGAGATGTTAAAAAAAACCACCAAACAGAAAACTTTTTTGCCAGGAATAATGTCACTGCGTTAGCCGCTTTCGCGACCAATATTATTCATGATAAAGGTTTTTGTTGGGTTAGATCGCGTTATTTCTAAATGTGTCGTAACCCTCCACCACCCGACACGGCCAATCAGCAAAAAAAAGTGTCACGTTGACAAAAGACAAAATAGTTCACTACTTTAGCCCACCGGTGTGTCGAAGAGTGAATCCACAACGTTTACAGTTTGAGTTGTACTGCGACGTTTCGCCGGTGATTTACATCCAGCATCATCGGGCAAATTCGCCGCCAGAATGGTAAAGCCCTCTCCACTTGCTCCCGGTCTTAAATAGAGCAGCAGCAGGGTGACGTCATCATTTAACTCATTCAGGTGCAGTGATTAGAGGCTGAGGAGGGGGGAGGTGGTATTGTAATCATATAAACTAAAACATGCTCTGGTAGTATATGATGATGATGATGACGCATTGTCTTTGAAACTGATTGGCCCACAACACCAGAGACGGCTTTATTTAGAGCCGAGTCTCAAACGGCGCCAGACCAGAGGACGACGCCGAAAGGCGACCAGTGCCAGGACAATGCCACCGTCGGGGGCGTGTCACAGCAGCAGCTGTCCGCTGTCCACTCTCCGCTGTCCGCTGTCCGCTCTCCGCTGTCCGCTGTCCGCTGTCCACTCTCCGCTGTCCGCTGTCCGCTCTCCGCTGTCCGCTGTCCGCTGTCCACTCTCCGCTGTCCGCTGTCCGCTGTCCGCTGTCCACTCTCCGCTGTCCGCTGTCCGCTGTCCACTCTCCGCTGTCCGCTGTCCACTCTCCGCTGTCCACTCTCCGCTGTCCGCTGTCCGCTGTCCACTCTCCGCTGTCCACTCTCCGCTGTCCGCTGTCCGCTGTCCGCTGTCCGCGCGAAGTCTGCAGGCGGGTGCCGAGGTCGTCTATGTCTACGATGGGCCATCCGCGGACTCGCCGCTCCTGGGGAAGTACGCCGGCGACGGAGTCCCAGCTCCCATCATCTCGTCCTCCAACGCCTTGTCCGTGAGGGCCACGTACGACACGCGGGGAATCGCCGGCAACTTCAGCGCGTTTTACAGGGGTGAGTTTA